GCCTTTTTTTTAACGATCCCTACTTATTAAAGTGTGTATTGACGATGTCTATCCTCTCAATTAGTTCGGAAAACCATTCTACTACTTCCTCATTGAAATCTGCAATTAAGTAGCTGTACTCCACTCTTTTATTTTTCTACTTATCGATCGCTCGGAAACTCAAATTTCTTTACATTTTCTTCATCTTCCGAAATACTTTGTGAGAAAACCGATAAGCTTAATGATTAAAAAGAACTCTATCTTGTTAAGACAGACAGCAAATTTCATTTCCCAAAGAGATGACGAAAATATATAGTTTTACACGGACAATATAATTCGATCTGGATGGATTCAATTTCATTATAGATCAGTAGAAAATCGCATTATACGAAGGAAAATAGACAAAATATACAGTTCATCCGACAGACAACACGAAAGAAGTTTCTTTTTAGATTAAGACAATTCGAAATTAAAAATTTTCGTACTAACAGTTAGGAAAAAAAATGAAGATTAGAAGAGATTATTGAATAGAGGAGCGAGCCAAAGATTTGAAACGTTTCCTAAGTTAAAAAATAAATAACAATACACGTGCCCTTTTACCTAGTTCGGGGTATTATCTTCCTTTGATTGGTTTGTAGAAGGGAACTTAACATCGTGCGTCTTTTGTATGGTACTCGTTCCCTTTTAAGCTCCTTATTCGGCTCCTATCTGGCCCTACTTGTGGTCTCTTTCTTTCAGATAAACAGATTTTCCAGTCTGAATATTATTTTCTCACTAGTCGGATCGGTCAATAATTTTTTCTTTTGAAGTTACCGCAGAAGTTAATATTATTATTTTTTATCACATTGAAACAAAGTTTAGAGAAGCCTAAATTCTAATTTATAATAATCTTCAACCTCGTTTGTTTCTCTCAGAATAGAAAAAATATAGTTTGTTAAGTGGATTGCGCTTGTCACTTCCAGCTGCCGTAAGAATATATTCGTGCAGGAGAACTAAGCTTCAACTATACAAAACAGGACCTATATTTTACTGACTAGCTAAGCCCTATAGAAGGAGGCATACAAATCAGATCTACCAGATCGAAATAATAGCTAAACACTACCCAGGGAAAAGGAATTTATGAGTGACAAGTAGGCTCACTCAGTGTCCATCATAATTACGTAAGGAAAATACTCGCTTCGTTGATTTGCCCACACATCTAACACCCGCTGATTGATTGCCTCACCGCCTTTTCTTCTAGTAGTGAGATTTCCCTACCGCTCGAAAGACAGTGCAGTTATCGGGATGCGGATGAACAAACAGCAGTCCCTATTGATGCGTGGGACAGATATACGTGCGGAAACTTTGGAGGAATAATGAAGCGTATTCAGTTTTCTCTTTCGTGTATTTTTTTTTAACATTGCAGACCTCCTCTGCGGATTTTGTGATGCGGGAAAAACTAATTGCTGAAAAGCGATCCGGGAAAGATGCAAATGGACGAAACCCGATACCCAGCGATTCAAATTCAAACAGCCAAATCCAGATGGCGACGGGGACAATAGGATGTCCCGATCTCCATGGCAACTTGCAGGAACACAAGTCGTTAATACGAGGGTCAGTCCATTATTAAATAGGGTGAGCAGAAGATAGATAACCGAACCTTCTATATGGCGGGTCAGACCTATTAAGACCCAGTGGCCATCGACCCCTAGGTACCAATAAACGAATGCGCCGGAGAGTTCCGATGGTAATATCTTCTCTGGAGTGCAATCCAGGTAGGGATGCTCGCGTTTTTAAATTCCAGCCGGCGGGTGGTTCTCCTGGACCAAAGTCGATTTTGTTCATCTACTAGGGCCGAACGGCTCTCCCCGCGGTAACGAGATCAGAACGAGAAGTGCCGGTAAATGAACTTCTGGCTGCCGTCACCCCGAACAGAGGGCACGACTCGATGTGTAAGCTCATTTTCCCGTAGCGTATAAGATAAACCATAACTATAGGAACACCTGGGGTTGGGGGAGGCAGCTGTAAGGCCGGAGGGCGAGTGGGCGAATTTCTAAACTCGACCATTAATTCGGTCCACTTTGAACGGAAACAAACCGCCCGACCGAGGAGGAGGCGGCCATTGAAGGGCAGATGCAGCGGCCCACCCCCACCGGAGATTAACGTTGGACAAGAAAAGGAAGCCATAAGAAGGCAGCCAACCAATTTTTGACCGAACAGCTGCTCAAAAACGAAAAAAAGGTGTTCGCGGTCGGTACGAGAAGAATCGAAGCGGCTAATTTTCGAAATATAAATCGGTGCAATTCGACTCGTACGGCCACCGGGTTGGAAGTCCACTTAAATCAGAAAAAGTGGCTAGAAGAAGCAATAAAATAAAGAAAGGAGCACGTGACGTTCCCACACACGTGGTCAGATCCACGTGACGTGTAAGTGGTCAGAGGGCAGAGTTATTACCTTACAACTGATGTATGTGATCAAGATCCGGTTGTACGGTAGCCGGCTGTAAATGTGAGGCAATCAACCGGCTCAGCAACATCACTGAGCGGGTCATTTCGCTAACACTTCTCCATAGAGTCTGGCCAGAAGGTTATCGCGTTCAACAGCTTCCATTCAAAGTGAATATAGTCGTTAAGAGGCTATCCGCCGGTAGTGGCGGCTAAAATTAAATTGATAGTAAAATTTGGGGCGTGCGCTAGGGAAGGTCGCTTGCCAGTCTGAACGTGCAATGGGATAATACCCGCCCCCTTCCCTTTCCAATTGGATGGGGGTCGTTTTAAACTGAAGGGGGAGGCAGGATGTCGTGAAAGCTAGCAATTTGGAGTCGTTCCACCGACGTCACTCATTTCATTCGGCCACGGTCGATGACATCGATTGGAGGCCATTTCGCCATTGGTTGCCGTCTCTGCGCCCATTCGACTGTTTAAAGCGGTAATTTATGACCGCCGCAAAAAGGAATGGAATCGATCGCAAGCTAGCATGCAAATTCTCATTCTTCTTGCAACAGAGAAAAGATGCCAAGGTGTAAATGTAATCTCGTGGTCTTCTCGCCATTCGACAGTCTGTACGATAAAGTAATGGAAGATTTGCATAACGAGACAAGGGATGGGTCATTTTGCACGCGGGGGCTTTTCGTGGGATTTACAAGACTTGCAGTAACAAATAGAGATGACGCCAACACGTAACAAATGAGCGTTTCTATCCCGAGCGGGATAATGGCCGAGATGTAGGGATGCAGTTTTCATAAATTTATTAAGAGAAAAGCTTAGTTCCGGCTACCGTGGGCCATCATTTTACACTGTTGCCAGTACATTAAGTGTACCTGCTATTGGCTCTAAACGATTTCCATCCCTGTCTATATCGTCGTAATCTAGTTTGTAGTTTCCCCTTTTCTTTTTACACTGCCTAATGGAACTACGGCATAAAAATTGTTCGGCCATCACGTGAACAGAAGTGGAAGTAATCTTCCAGAAAATCGTACTGTTTCCGCCCCTCTTTTCGCTAACCATTCCATATACACGGTTGGAGGAGTTAGTTGAATGAAAACAGAAAGCGATGCTTTCCCCGTCCATCCAAGAACTTTTGTTTCAATCCAGCTGCGATTTGTACACTTCTTTCTCACAACAACCCGATGATTTGCGCTTCTTTTTCTTTCTTCCTCCTTTTCTTTTAACTCAGAAACTTTGAGGAATTTACTTCATCGATCACCAAACGCCTAATGCAACTCTGAAATGAAGAGAATCAATTACGTCTCGCTCATCCCCTCCTCAATTCTACTTTGAATTTTTAAAATTTTCTTGAAGAATAAATTTAACCGTGTTTTTCACTTGTGATGGCGAGGAACGAAATTGGTTTCAATTTCACTTATACACAAACTCACGATTTAGCTTTAAATGCATATAAACTTCTACATAGCTAAAGTCTAACATAACTCACGAACAAACAACGTGTAATATCTAGGAAAATATTACATTTCTGCGAACTTGGATGGATTTTGCCATCTTCGAAAGAAGAGGGCGGAGACAAGAGGTGGCAATTCACACTTGTACCTGTGCCAGACTAAGAAAGACAGTTCGATTTCTCCCTGGCAAGTGATCCCCACCTGCTGCGCTGAGTCTTTGCCAAATTTTCCACGCTCGTAGCCTTTCCTGGCCAACGTGATGGAATCTGAATAAACTTGACTACAAGAATTTCCTTCCTGGCGCCGAAATACGAGCCTGTTTAAATCATTTTCTAATTAAATGCGTGCATTCCACGTGCGATAAGAGAATGCCGAGATGTCAAAAGATAGTAAAGATGGAAAACACGAAATGGCCATTCGGATATTTATTTTTTTAGGTAGATCAGAAGAAAGAAGGAGACAAACATTATAAATTAAAGTGGAAGCGAACAATTTTCCACTGGCTGCATCCGAGGAAGTTTCAACGTACGAAATGTCGTCTAATTTTCGTCGTCCGCGCTGTTTGCCGTGTTTATTATCGGTCCATCATCGGCAACCGTTCCCCTTAATGTCCGGGGTAGATTTCACGGCCCGTCGTTTCTTCTCCCCTTCAGACGCTCTTCTTCACCTTAAACTTACTTTTCCGCTTCAACTCTTGACAGGGCGTTTTTCTTCTCGTGCGCTTCACTTACTCTTTCTCTCGATGGCTGGCTGACCAACACTACTCTGCACTTTCCCAGCCGAGACTTCTGAACCCTGAAATAACTGGACTCGTGGGAGTTGCTGCTACGGTTGTTACTGTTGAAGAATAGCTGCACGACCCAGCTCAGATTAAGGCCGGCTGGCTGCACAAACTTCTGCCTTCTTCCCACTTCTTCCAACTTGGAGGTTGGGTGTCTGTTTGTGCGGCCCTTTATTCCCCGATCTGCCACCGAAGCCCGAATGTGTGTATTTTTGGAAAGCTATAAATACGGCTAATGGTACATTTTGAGAAATAACAGGCCCGCTCTATACATAGTCTGCGCTATTTTCGTCTCTTCCCATTTTTCCCTCTTTTCTGTTGAAAAATTGTCCGCGGCAACTGATTCCGATTCTTTCTTTTCAGTCCGTAATCAAAATGTCTGGCTTTAGAAGTCTGGGAGATGACGAGGAAGTGGAGTTCGAATGCAAAGTTTCGGATAAAGGTCTGGAAGCTACCATTGTCACGGGTCCCAATGGACAGGATTGCAAGGGTTCACATCGACGCCCCATGTCCAAGAAAAGATTTAGAAAAATCAGGTAAGCAACAAAATTTTAATTGATACCTAAAAATCATTCAGATAGCACCAAGGTTTAACCGCTGTCCGTTCATTAATAAAGCAGTCGAAAGTAGAAAGTCAGCCATCGATCTCTCCTTCTCCGGATGGTAGCTGCCCAGTCTCCACCTCCACCTCCTCCTCCTTTGTGTGTATCTTACGGCTCTGTTCCTCTAAATGCTGCACTTGGCGCCTTCCAGTACCGTGTGTATACAAGTGATGTAATACTTATAATAGGACGTAAGAAAGGAATAATCCTTCCAGTCTGAGTTTTACCTCGGACATTGATCTGCTGACAAAGCTTTTTCTCATTATGAGATGAACCTTTTGTTGCAGATCGCATTCGGTTCTGGTAGACCTCTTATTGAAGGAACGAGAAAATTTCAGCATCTGAACGGCCATCGAAATTTGACTATTCGGTGTCGAGGGAGGTCTAATCTAAAACGGCAGCACGTGAGCGGTGCAATCGAACTGAATTGCAGCTTGATAGATTCATACCCTTCAAACTAACTAATGGTATCCACGTCGACGGCATGCAACTGTCGAATAATTGGAGAGGTTCGAGACCGGGCAAGTGATTGCACGGGATATAAATGATGGTGCAATTCTTTACAGAAAGGTATCCCGCGCGGAGCAATATATTTTAGCTGTCACGACAAACCCTTTTTCATTTTTCCCCCTTCGGAATTCCTCTACTTACTCGACACCGGAAGAAGGAGCACGATCAGTAAGAATTTTTTGCTTATAAGAAGATACGTGACCTGTCACGTGATGTGCTTCTTAATAGCTTATTGACGTCAATTAGTGGAGTATAGAGTTTACGTTGGGGAAAGGGTAATAATAGCAGTGGCAAAATTGAGAAGGGGAAAGAAAAATAATAGCAAAGTTTGCTTTATGAGACACGGACACACGTTGCTGGGATGGCTGTACCGGCGTCAGAAAACATTGTTTTCTCCCCGTGTCAAGCTTCTTGCTGGAAATGTGTATTTATGTTCAACCAAACTGCGGATATAACTTTTTGTTAGTAGTAGTGTAATTTATCCCTGCAACCGCCATTCCGGGTAAAGAGAGAAAGTAACTGCTCGGTCGTGCACCGTATAATAATTTTTACACGGGGCTTGCGGATCTGACTTAAAACTTCTCATTCCCGGAAGTGATTTGATCCTGAAAGAAAAACAGAAACATATGGTGTTTACCGTATTCTAGCAATTTGGCTATTTATCGTTCTTTAGGTGCAGTCCGGCGCGGACATCTGCCCAACTGACCCCGAGCCGGGCCGGGCCGGCCAGGCCATATTTCCTAGAAGAGCAGATGTTAATTTAGATTTTGTTTGTGCGCCAGATTGGTTTAGACTTGTTTAAAGCAGGCCGAGCGCAAACCATCGGGTGGCACTCGATCCGTGCTGTGTTTGACATCAGAATCACTTTTTGACAAACTATTGCGCTATTGTGACCAAGGTATGTTTTTTGTGGGTTTTTTCTCCGACAGCCAGTGACCTGGGGTGCCAGATGGTTGTGACTGGTCAGTTGGACAACACCGCGGGGGCAAATATGACTACCGCCATTATCCTTACCTAAACCAATTACGGAGAGATTAAAGCTTTCTGACTAAATATAAAAACACCCTACATTTGGAGGAAATCTCTAGTTTCGGTTGTTAAAAATTTTTGAGATGAAGCCACAGCTCATCATTAAAGAATTTTTCCAACGCTATATATTGTGATGGAGCAATTCTGTAGAACCATTATCTCGCGGGTGGATTTTGATCGGATAGATCTCCAGTGAGACTGTTAGGTCCAAAGTATCTAGCAACAATTTACGAGATTTCGGTGTTGGTATTGTCTGATCAGCTGGATGTGGATTATAACCACTATCAACATTATTAAAAATTGGGGGACTTAGGGAAGCGCGATACGATTGTTGATGAAACTTAAGATACTCTCTTTTTACAGGTGCTACAACTGCGGAGAATTTGCCAATCACATAGCAGCCAAATGCACCTTGGGTCCACAGCCCAAGCGTTGCCATCATTGTAAATCTGTCGATCATCTTATAGCGGAATGTCCTCTTTTAGAAGAAAAAAAGAAGACGAAAAACGGAGACAGCAGCACCAACAACAATAAAGACGGCTCTAATAACCACAGGACTGCTACGGAAGCGCACGACGTGCCAGGCAGCAGTGGAACGAGCACGGAGAAAAGGAAGGTTTAGCCCGAGGCATCAGTACTGCGCATCCGAACTTACTATCAATTTTTCCAGGGTCTTCTGGGTGGAAACGAACACGGTACCATCCAAATCCCACTGGTCCTTCTTTGTCCTCTTTAGGAACATTTCGAACGGGACCGTGGTCACGTGATAGTTGCGTACACTCAAAGTGACTGTCGAACAATTTTAACATTGCGCACCTCATTAAGAAGTCATCGTCTGTGAATTTGATGTTTTTAAGTGTTTTGCTAAAGAAAATAGCCTTCGGCACGACGGACGAGAAGAACTTGAACTTTATTGATAATAACTAGCATGTTTATCAAACGGCATCTAGTCCGGTGATGTGTCCATATACCACTTAAAATAAGGGTAGAGGAGAGCTGCACCGGCAGCCAAATCGGGTCATTGTGAACAGATTGCTTAATTAATTCCCATTTTCGTAGCCCCCCAAAAGGAGCAGCGCATCTTCAGAAAACTGCCAAACGTTGCTCAATGATTTTATTTATTTAGGTTTCAAATTTTTGGTTGAGTTAGTCGAGATAGTCTCATCCAAAATTTCAAAGGGTATTCTCCCTACCCTTCGGTTTAGTATTTTATTGCGGAGCGTGTTTTGCCGGAAAGCACGGTTAATTCCGTGGTTGGTTGAAGTTCCTATATAAATAGATGAGGTCGGAAGTCAACATAATCAGATCAGTACATATCATTTCTGTGTATGGAGTGAGTAGCAGATTAGGTACAACGGGTCACCATGGCAACTGAGTGATTGAGACAGGCAGAATTGTGGCAATCACTATTCACCTTGAATATCGTCCTTCGGAAAGAAGTGATATCCCTCTCAGCTGAAAGCTGTCCTAGTCGTAAGTATTTCCTCGTGTACTTACTCCCCCTAACCTCTCTTCCATATGTAAGCAGATACTATATTGGTCTTCCTCGTTACTGAGATGTGTGTGATAGAACATTCTTAACAGTACTTAATATGTAGTCCTGTTCCTAAATGCTTTCTACTGCTAGACGGCAGTCCTCGATGGTTTCACGATTTCCGATTCTGTTACGCAATAATTTAATAACCGATTTGAATTTCTACTTCATCTGATCGGTCTGTCGACGATCATTGCTCACAAACAGGAGAAATGGTTTGAACCCACCAGTGCCTCTATGTTCTGCCCAATTCTTTTGGCTTTTCATCTTTTATTTTAAAAACTTGTGTTTGGTAACAGAGTTTAGATGAGAACACCCGTTCTTATCGGTTAAGGGACAACCCTCCATACGCCCTAAATCTTTATAAAATTTTAAATCTGTCCCGAGAGAATCAAAATCTCACTGGATAAGAAGAGAGTTATCTTCTGAACTTAACCGAGCACAGATCTTTGCCATAAATAAACTTGCTGATAATTTAATGTGACCCTGTTAGTTCCGATATACAGAATCCAGACGTGAGACCACAGCAGTTGAAACTGTTACGTACCTAACTGCAGTTTTGTACAGAAATTCATTGTTCATTTCCTGTTTGTATCATGAAGGAGAAAAATAAAAATTCGTATTTCAAAGGAGTGCATGCCTTTTTTTATCGTTACTTCAGAATAACGTGATCTAGAAAATCGATATTTTGGTGAAATCATACAGCAATCTGCCCACCTCCACTTCAAGCAGCATTCATATCATTGGTAGTTGGATAGATCACTAGTTCGCGACGTCTATAATCAATAAGACCCTACGTACTGTACTGTACTTCACTAGCAAAGCTGTGCTCTTGGTCCTTATGCTTGTCACTGGGCTCGCGCAATATCCTCCCACGCTCAGTACCAATTCACCGGAAGCTGGTTCGTGTTCTATAGTTTGACGTTTTTTACTCGGATAAATGGTCGATAGAAGACTTGAACCATGCCAAACACGAATAATTGGCGTGACGTCTTGGGGCAGGTTATGGTTGTTAAAGTATAATTAATATAGACAAGCGCATCCGCCATCTTTGTGTAACTTCACAAGGTCGAAGAATACAATTGTTCTTTTGGATTGCATAATTTTAGAAGGATTTTAAGCGTAAAATACCATGAAAAGAACCTATCCTGTTCTCGAAAGAACTTCAAAACAGGCCTATTCAGAATTATTCCAATAACAAGAACCTATAAATATTCTGATAAGGTAAGCTATTATATTGTGGACGTTAACGTGTTATATGATTTGTTTTCTAGTTACATCGCATCGCTTTTAATTACAACGCTCATTTCTCATTTTCATTTAATTGTTCTCAATTGTATATATGACATTTTCTCTTGCTACACGACAATTAGATCGTGATAAAGCCACATTTCTCGTAACTTTATCGAGTATTCGTTTAATATGAAAAAATAAAGCATTTCTAAAGATTTAATGTAAAAAATTTACTAAGATTAAACTGTGAGCAATAATTATTTATTTTTCAGGATTAGGTTACATAATTGTAATTTTATTTTATGCTCATTATGCTATACAGCTGCATTTTTATTTTCTGGTTGATTTTAATCACTAATTCATCAATACGACATTAAAAGTTACTAAATTTTAAATTCGAAATACGTTAAAATTTAGCCAATAGATTTACATACGAGTAAAACATACATAACTAGAAAAATATATACAAACATTTACGAATTATTAAAGTCATAATGATTTATTGTACGATATTATTATAAAATAAAATATCGATTATTTTATATAAAATATTTATTAAATGATAGATGACTATGATAGCCAATAGGCTGTATTTTCTTCTTATCCTTTCAACAAATAATGATCGATTATGACGTAAATATTCTTTGTTGTTTAAAACGCTACATAGAAATAAATAATTAATCGCGTTTATATACGTAATTTAAATATATAAGAATGATTAACCACAATAATGATCATGCTATTTGATATAGCCGTCTCATATCTAGATAAAATTAGTTTTAAAATTACTAAATCTAAAATTTTTAAGGATTATAAAGCTTCCTAAATAGGTTACCATTATACTATAAATAAATTGATAATTGAATAAATAATAAATTGTCTTTATATTATTGATCACAAGCCTATATGGATCTTATTCTCACAAGATATCGAAACGTTGACATCCTGGATTTTTGCTGAAATTTTAATACGTTTTTAGTATGTATTTCCATTAATATACGGTAACATAACTCGTGTCAATGAACACGAGTTATGTTACCGTTAGTTTACGAGAAATCATTGTTTAAACTTTTTCGTGTTCGTTATCTATCGAGCTCTAGAAACGAATCGTAACGAGTATGCGTTGAATAGTGAGTGAGTAAAACACCAGGTTGAAAAGCTCGACATCACAGGTTCGTCCTGATTTTTTTTTACAATTTTTCCTTAAGTATGCAATTCAGTGAATTAGCTTAAAATATATTTTACCAAAAACACTATTTTGTGATTATTAAAATCATTTGCATATCTTTAAACAACTGTAGGAAAAGTGTTGATTCGCTTTTCACACTTGTTGGTTTACAGAGGAGAGAATGAGTTTAATAATTACAAAATAATGTTTTAGACTAAATATATTTACTGAAAATTCACTAGATTGCACACTTAAAAAACTATGAAAAAATGCAGCATGAACCTGCGATATCGAGCTTTCCAACATGGTGTTTTACTCACTAGTCCACGCCTACCAGTTACGATTCGTTTATACAACTCGATATATAACACACACGGAAAAGATTAAACAACGATTTCTCGTAAACTACTGTACATTGTTATGTTATCATGCATTATGGAAGGGTGTACTAAAACGTATTAAATGTCAACAAAATCCACGATGTAAGCTTGGATGTCCCCTTATTGGAGTTTAATTTCATTCAATAGTATTGTCTACCAATTTCGAAGTAAATTTAATGGATGGGGATAATGTAAATAGCCTATGACTTCCTAGCAAAAATAATATTAACGAAAAGTATTCTTTGTGTTATTCTTTTACTTCCTTTACTAATCAATTATTATTTGTAAGTATGAAACGTTCAATCAACATCAGATATAATAAAGCAATGTTATTTTTAAGAGTTTGGGTGTAAAGTATGGTAAGTGCTATTTTCGTTAATACATTATAATTCGTGCTAACATCTAAACAGCAATGTATTTCAATTTAAATATTTTATCAACTTTTTAACTATAACATGCATCTTATTCTAATTAAATAAAACAAAGTAGAAAACTTCTTAAGACGTTTAATTTTTGTATTTTCTCAAAACTTTCATTATGGCGCTTACCAAGTTTTACACCCGAATCCATCATTTATAAAATACAATAAGATTGTTTAAGTGGAGGTCCATAGCCAAATTTAACTCGCCAAGATTTCCTTTACGAATCGAATCACAATCTATAGACATAAAACAGACATGCAAAATATTTTTAGCACTTTACTATACCACATATTTAATTATATACAAACTTAACGTAAACTCACAAAAATAATTAAATTATAAATTCTGTATTAAATTATATATTTTCTAGGTACAGAAAAATATCTTTCAATATACTTTAAGTTAAACAGTATTTAATGAAATTTTTTTTTTTTTTAAATTACAATAGGTGAAATGTGCAAAAATTTTGTCGGTAATTGTCAGTTATATCAAACACAATAAAATGTAATTTATTAATATTTCTCAATTGAATTTATTAAATAAAATATTGACAAGCGATTGAATACAGTGCACTTGATTTAATAAAAAGAGAACAGTGTTTAATTAATTTAAAACATAATTTTTAAACATCTATTTATGAATTTAAATACTCGTAAATTATAGGATTATGAATAGAAGTTATCCAAAATCCATTATATTTGGATTTAGAAAATAATTTATAAACAGAAAATGTAAAAATAGATGCAATTACGACATATCTTCGTAAATTTGAACATAAAATTAAAGCCCATCATCTAACACAGATAATACTTTTCTATCCATCCCAATGACAAACTCCGAAATTATTTATACTGGTTCATTGTTTCTACCGTTCATGTTAGGAAGCAAAGCACTTCAGTGTTATTAAGTGCATCCTCATCACTTGAGGAGGCATTAAATGACACTCACTTCACTCTTCCGTAAATTTCTAGATTTGGAAGGTCACAAAATCGTAATTTCGAAAAATATAATACAAAATAATCAGTTTTTCGTCTTTCCTAAGCAATTTTCGAAGTATTAAAATGATAATTATATATTATTTAACATAAAAATTTCAGTAAAACCTATATAGATTGTCAATAATTTTTGCAATCATCGTAACTTATCAAATGAATATGATTTCTTTAAAATTAGTACAGAAACATATTTAATATTTTAAAATCAAATATTTAATTTATTAATTTTAATTTTAATATAGATAAATACATTATGTAAATTGTAGTTATAAATTAAATCTGTGTAAACACAAAATTTATATGTATTATACAATGACGTAATTTGTAGCTATGATTATACATTCAGTCTTAAATTATACCTTAATAATTACTTAAAATATTTATATATTAGAAAACTATTGCAGCTGTGTATGTAGATTTGTATGTATATTTAAGAGAAACACACATATTGCACTCATTTTCCATTAAACGTAACCTATAATTTATAACATGTAATTTATATTATTAAACTATAATTTATTAGGTATATAGCCTATATTGATTGAAGACTATATACATATATCCTAGATTTGTAGTAAAATCAAAAGATAAATTACATATATCTTTAAATTATTGAGATATGAAGTATCAAATTAACCTTAATTCACTCTGATTTTGTTGTTGTTTTTAATTCTATTACAAATGTTAGTGTGATATAAATTTACTGTATTCGTGTAATGAGTTGAAAGACATATCGAACTAAAATTAATATTGTTTTATTGAAAAAATGGCAATATGATTATTTTTCTGTTTAAATTATCGAGAAATACCTTTATTTTTAACTTTATTTCTGAAATTTTTCGATAATTTAATTAATCTGAAATCAAAATTGGCATCAAATTAAGTAAAATTATTTATGGATTGTATTTTTTGCTTCTTTGTTTTGATGCCAGTATTTTTATTGGATTTCCAGACCTTGTTAAACACAATTAAGAGAAAATTGTTAAAATACTTACATTGTAACATCATTTCCTTTCAAAAAAGTTGTTTTACTTGAGAATTACTGACAAAATTATAATAAAACACTGCAAATCTTATTATAAATTAGGCCTATTTACATATAAATAATTAGGCCTAATGTCTTCCTTCTAGAAACTTCTGATTGAAGAATTGTCTAAAAAATTATTTGTACATAATTAAATACGTATTTAGAAGGGGAAATAACAGTAAATAATTTAAAATAAAGTAAAATCTTACACATTTTATTACATTCAATAAATATCCCCAAATACTTTTTGAGAAATAAAGAAAAATAAAACCAAACGACATTTCTCACAGTTTCCCGCCATTATGACGTAGTTATAGATTTCCGATTAAATTTAATTAATTCGATTCTTTAATACAGACCTCTCTTTATTATTATTATTATTATTATTATGAATAACTTTATAAATATTAATTTTAACGTAAAACGTTATTTTTAAGTTAAGACGTAAGAATAAATCTCGAACTGCAAACGCGAGAACGCTATTAATTAAAATATTCGTAAATAGCGCTTTCAATTTTAGATAAAAAAATAATATTATTAAAAATATTTATTGTAAATTTAACATTTATAGAACAAATAAAATAATTTTGCAAACATTAAATACTCCAGGCCTAAACAGAAGCGAGACGAGTTAAAATTGCATTTATATGATGGATAGGCCTATTTGGCATTAGTTTATTCGTTTACGTTATTATAATTAATTAATATTTATGTAATAAATGTTCGATACAAGTCGACTTTTAAGCTTAAATTAGCAATCGGACACACGCAACGTCGATAAATGGATGTTAAAATGGCGTCTTATATACGCCACGCGCAAGTAAAAAAATATATTTAATAATCCGGCAAATTACGTCAATCCGTTCCCGGGGAAACAAAGAAGATCTCGTGTTACACATCAGCTTTTTTTTCACCTGTTGAAGAGATGCGCCACATTCCTGCCAAGCAAGAAAGCATTGCGAGATTCGTCTAGGTCAATCACTGACAGGATGACGGGTCGGTGACAAAGAAGACGCGTTCGTTATGGCGGACGGAAGCAGTTTCCACACTCATCCTGTCGACGGAGGAATTATTTACGACGACTTAGCACCGACTTCGCAAGTTTTATGGCAGAGAAAGACGAGTAAATCATAATCCGATACCAGCTTCTCTTCGCGGTAAACAGGACAACTCGCGCTGGACTAAAGATAATTTGACAATAGTGAAAAAAGGCCGAAGAAAATTCCATATTGATATCATCCCGAAAC